CTCTGTTTATTTGTCCTTCCGTCCCCGACGGTTGTTAGCGGATGTCTCAGTGAAGCCAGTAGTATACGCTTCTTTCATATCTCAGCATCCATCCGCGAGTTGGTTTGCACCTCACGATGCCTTGTGGGACACCTGGTGGAGCCCGTGGGAACACAGCAAGCAGCCGCAGTGGATGTAGTTTCGATCGGTCGGCGACAGCCGTATCGTGGCGTGGTGGCAGCTTGCTTCGGCGTTATCTCGGCAACCGCATGTCGGTTTGGGCCCCATGATGGCTTGTGTGACAGGTGTTGGTTTCGTGCTCATTGGAGGAAGTGCCTGAGCTGATTTTCGAGCGGTATCGTTCGTTGTTAAGCTTGTCAACGACACCGAGCTGACCTCTTTGGGGACATACCTCGGCAACCACTGGTCGCTTTGGGCTCAACGATCGATGGCTTGCTTGCGTGATAGCTGAGACCTGTACAAACACCGTGGACGTGGGTTCGAAGAATTTAGAGCCGGTGTCGTCAACAAGCGTTTACCCCAACACCGATCGATGTCGTCTTTGGCACAGTACTTGGGAAGCCTGGCGGACGCTCTGCTGCCCGTGGTGTGTACAGTAGTGCAGCGAAAATCCGGACGGTGGTTTGCTCCTTGACTAGTCTACAGTATTACGCGGCGTTTGCGTTCGGAGGTTGATCCCCACCACGAATAAACGTATTGAGCCAGTGCCGTAGTCATTATCGAATATTGGGCGCAACCGACTGTGTGCATCGAACATCGAACGCCCCAACAGGGATCTCACCACATCAAGTGGGTGCGAGACGAACATTTAATTAACTAGTAAGAGGAGTGGGGACGAAGTTCAGACGTCGCCTCACTACGCACCAAGAAAACGTGATTGATACGGATGCAGTAACGTGGGTATGATCCCGAACCAGCAATAATCAACACCAGGTGTGAATTACAAGAAAGGTTCATTAACGGAAAACCTCCAGTGCACTCGGTCGGACCGTGCAATCTATCAATAGCAACGTCGTTTAAGTTACGACACGCTGTACAGGGATGGCATGCCCCATTAGAGAAACAGACTGAACAGAACACACGACATCCACCCCACAACCCCCCACGTACTAAACGTGGCGCGTCTCCGCCACGAGAGGGTGGCACTATTGTTGTTGTTGTGGTTGTTGTTGTTGTTGTTGTTGTTGTCTTCACATTAAGAACCGTTCGGATCTCCGCTCAGTACCTTGTAATGTACGTACAATACTATACTATACTATACTATACTATAACAGTCCAACTTGACGCGGACGCCTTCCGTGGTCACAAGCCAACTGCCCCCAAGGGGGGGTATACCTTCTGAAAAAAATGGACACCAGAAAAAATTCCTCCAAGGCGCGATTTGTTTTTCTACCCATACAAGGAGAAAAAACAAAAAAACTCAAAAAGGAAAGAGAAGGCTAACCGGGGGGATACAGGCGATCGACCCCAGAAAAGGGATGAAAGAACGAAAGACAAAAGAAAAAGAAAGAGAGGAAGAGAGGGGGAGACAACGACCGGAAACAAAAGGGAAGATACACAGGTCCCACCAATGCTCCAGTCTACCGGAGCCACAACGAAACTGGCAACCACTAACGTAGCACCAAACAGATGACTGACTTCCTACGACACATCACTTCGGGGGCACTGCGGGGGGCGGGGGGTGTTTTTATACGCAGGAAATAGCGCGTAGTACGTACAAGAATGATCAAGACACACGCACCCTGTGGATGATGAACAGATAAAATGTTTCACACATTCCGAACGGAAATCAAACGAGCAAGGCCGCACGGGATCCTCGGCAAAACACCTACTTTTGTACGTCCTCCGTGCCTTGACGAGGGGGGTTCCAGTCTCTGCGAAAGACGGTCAGCGCCCTGAGCTTGAGTCGGGTTCCACGATGGCTCCCCCTCAAGCTCACTCTTCCCTTACTCTCGTCAGTCAAGCCACGCTTGACCAGCTCGGCACTTCCCGCTTACACAACACGCAAAGAACTGGCACCCACCTCCATAACATACAAACAAGGAAAACCTACAATAATACCTATACCGAACTGACACCTATGTGCAGCAGCTGGCGGGATACAGCCACGCTTCACGAGCCGTTCGACTCCGTAGAATACAAGGGATCACTTTGAGTTCGACTACGATCTAGACCTCTCGCCATGGACATGGCGAATACCAACCAGGTCACGAAAACCAAACCAGGAAGGAACTATTTAACATTCAATAACAACCCTGCGCTGCTGATGGGACCAGCACTACTACCACAAAAGATACCGGAGAAATGAGCCCCATCCCCATCTGGAAATGGAGCCTACGTACAGTGGTGGGCTAAGGCCACGCTTCACGAGCGTAAAATAGCAGGGATCCACAACCATGCATTTATCTACGACACGAACCCATCCAGAACAAGCAAATGCCCTAGAACACGAAAGGGAAATAGAAAAAGGCACTCCTTTCTCGGACAACTGTAAAGGCACTGGAAAAATTGCGTCACGGAGACCATTCATTCGTGATAGGGGCGAACCACTCTAAAACCCCTTCCCGCGCCTGGACAACATCGATAGCCACGCCCATGGTAGGGCACGAACGTTCAACAATTACGAACTTTTGGGCACGTTATATTGCCACCGCGGCACACAAGGCCTCAACAGGGTGCCAGACTTTTTGTGCGACATCCCGGTGGGTGTACACCCACCGACTTGTACCATTGTTTTCAACCACCCATTGTCTATTTTGTGGTCGTTTGAAACACATTCACTCGTTCTCGGCTAGCGTCGCATCTACTGTTCCAGCTGCTTAAAAAAACTTGGCGGTTCTTTCCGACATGCGTCACCAGCAGAAACCAGCTATGTTGCACTCACCAACGGGGGGTACAATCGGACGTAGCATAAATTGGATTTTCATACACAAGTTTCTCTAGTTTCTCATCGATCTTGTCTCCCAGATCCTGTACTGTTTGCCACAATCTCGGCCGTTTCCTTTTCGAGGTCTGTTGTAGGAGCACTCTTTACGAGTAATCCTTTGCTCTATATCCCTCTCTTTCTCGACTACTGATGCGTCACTTCAGCAGACGGGTTGTTTCCCCAATCTCAGGGTGCGAGACTGACGACAGATCCTCCTGCACAAGGAAACACTTCTTATTTACCTCTTTCGATTCTATTATTCGCATGATGTTCAGCAGCAGCAGGCAGGGCACGAGCATTGACGCCAATACGATCACCATCAACCACTGCGCCGCCCCGGTATAGTCCAATACCACCGAAGTGACATACGGGAACGCGGCCATTCCGAAGGTAAGCCCGAACGTGATTACCGACATCCCCGATTCCGAAGGCGGGTTAATGCGGTTATTGAGCTCGTAGCAAAAATTTACCGTCGGGCCCCAGGCGAAACCGTAACAGGCGATGCAGACCCAAAGCACCGTCGGCGAGTTTTGGAACAGTAGTATCGCTGCCACCCCTGCTCCTCCCAACAGGAACGCCGCCATGGACAACCGGTATAGGCTCGAAAGAGTGCAATACAGCTGGGCCAGCAGGCCCAACAAAATGCCGACCACCGAAGCCGCAAACAAGTCGACTTGGAGAAGAGATTCTTGAGACGTTGGAATTACTCCGGTAGACTCTACATACGTATCAAGATACGAGCTCGAAGCGGACTGAAATTGATTGGGAGCGGAACCAGAGCGGGAGCATGCGGTAGGGTAGGGGGGACGGGGAGGGCGGGAAGGTTGTTTCGCGAAGGACTTGTAGACTACTCACACATGGTACAAGGTTCCCCTCCGGGAGTTAGTTGGTTTGCCTCCCGGGCGCGACGCAAGAGGACACGGCCAATCAATGTCATCGCAGTCGCATGGTTGGTCGTCATGACGTTCGGTAGTGCCGGTTTGCGTGCTACCTGCATACAATACAAATTTGCCAGGAATTTACATCATGTGCGGGGTATTGTGCTCTCTCGCGCCGTGACTTTTCGCTTGTGCGCGAGCGTGTGCTTTTATGTAGGCTAGCGCTGTCTTTGCTGCAGGTCCTACTGCTGTAATCCGCTGCGTTTGATCACTTACTCTTCTAGTGTGATCCTGTTTCCCATGGTCTGTGGGGCTTTTCACGCAAAAAGCAACAACGGATCAAAGAGGCTCAACGTGCCCAAGAACAGCCACAGTCGTTGACTGCTGCGTACCACTTCCATGTATGAATTTTTCGATTTTTCGGAATTGAAATTTTAATGACCGCTGCCAGAGTGAGTTGTGCGAGAGGACTTTTTCTGTGTCGCGTGGTGTGTTTCCATGAGCAACACCAAGAGTCTTGGTCCCCGCTGCGGGTACGCATGCGCCAGTTACCGTGTGATGGGTGTGTACACAACAAGCACGGCGGCTGTGTGGGCGCGTGGGCGCGTGTCGCGTGTCGCGGGGCAAAAAAAAAAGGTTATGTTTTCAGTTTTCATCCCGTTCGAGGAGGCTTTTATGGTTCGGATTCCCAACCCCTAAAAAAAGAGCCAGTCCCAGCGACTTTAAGCGGTCCTAACGCGCACCACCGGTGTCTCGCGAGCCCCACACGCAACGGGTAATGTACGGACGGGTCCTCTGCGTGCCATGCAGAAGAAAGTGCGAGAAAAAATGCTGTCCCAGCGGAGAAAAAAAAAACGAGCATAAAAAAAAGTTGAAATCCTACATATCGTATGCATATGGGACAACAGTGCCTTGACAGAATACACGTGAGGTGTCCGTTGGCCAAATGTCTCTTAGGAGGTAAGGCTGATATCCTCTGTTGTTATCATTCTGTCCGAACACATGCTTCGCAGCACTTACTCATGCATGGTGGTTTACGACTTGGCTTCACGATAGTAGTGTGGTTTACCACTTTAAGGATGCACCGGTGCCAACCCCGCTACCGTGCCACGCTAGTTTGTTCCCCGCATGCTTCACAACAACCAAGACATCGCCCGGCTTGTTGGCCGAAATACGCCGAGTAGTGCGCACTGACTCTATGCCTGAGGGTCGAGATGGGCAGCAAATCCCGTACGCGCGCCTCTGAAAATACAGCAGTAGCTCTGCGTTCCGCTCACCGTTCCACCTATCAGCCACAACACCATGGCGCCTATGTTAAACTCGACGCTGTACTTGCTGTAGAACAGAGAGCACTTCCTCGTCCACGTGCTCTTTTCCGGCCGGGCCGTGCCACCTGCTGCTGTGTCCATCATCAACGACTCGGGCGTTTCCTGCTCTCGGGCGAAACGTACGTGGGGGCATATGTCACGCAATTAGAACCCAATAGCGAACACCTCATCGTACCATCCCTCAACCAAGACTGATGCGTGCTCTCACCCCTGCATACCACCATATGAACTCTCGCCCAAGCGAACATCAAGCATGCCCAGCGTTCTTACCCACTGTACCCAAAGCAGGGTAGTTGCTCTCTGTAAGCATCGAGGGTCTCTGCGGGCTCGCCCTTTCCCCCTGTCGACGTTCACCTTGTAGGCAACCGAGACAGGCGAGTGGTCTGTGGCAACAGCTGCACACATCCGGGCGATTTACGAGCCCCCCCCCCAGCCAACCCCAAGTATCACGCGTCTCGCACACCTCGATTAGTCCTTCGAAGCTCTCCGGAGCTGGAATGACAACGCCGAGGATGATGGCAATTGCAATGCTCATGCCGGACAGGATGGCGTACTGGTCGAAGAGCGAATCATCCAGGTAGGCTACTACCGGAAATAAGGCACTCGAAATCCCCAGCGACACCACATTGGCACCAGTCCATAGGTTGCACTTGTCGCCGTGAACCTTGCGAGTCATGATCTGACAACCGGTCATGAGAACATCCACGACAAGCCCCTGTACGAAGAACGCCAGGTGAAGGGTGAAAACCCTGGACAAGAACGGGAAGTACAAGAGGATCGCCGAAAGGAGCACCAGCCCGACCGACAGCACCGTGTTCCCCCGAACGCTGAGGTAGAGCTTCGGCGACATGAGCGCCCCGACGCCGGTCCCCGCGCCCTTGGCGACGAACACCGTGCCGACCTTTGATCCCCGTTGTCGCATCATGATTTGGAGCCAATGGTGCCAACAGAACGGACCAAATGGTCGGACCAGATACAAGCGGAGGTGTTAAGAGCGAAACAGGTGCAGCAGTAACTGTGCGTGCCGACGACAATAACAGCCACGGACGGGGTTTGCCCATTTCATATCTTTGTCCCCGCTTGCTTAATAGCTTGTGTTCCTTCCTTTCTTCAGTTCGAGGGTCCTTTGCGGCTTTTCTCCGGGCGCGGGCGTCGATGCCGCACGGCCACCGGCAGCTTTCCTGTCCTGCACCGAGACGGACGATACTTCAAACGGCCCTGCCACACGATGAAGTACACCCGTGGTTCTCTTCGCGCTGCCCTGACTGACGCCAAGCGCACACGTGATCTTACCCATGTTAACCATTGGCAGGGTCTTGGCGAGAGCCGCCAAGTGTTCTCCGGCTTCTGCCTCACCCTGTAACATGTGAACGCGGAGGGCCTAGCCAGGCGTCAACAACGCAGCGAATGCCACCACGGCTCCACCTGCTTGTACTGCTGTTGGATATCAAGCTTCGAAAATACCCACAGCGCCACCTACTTGTGCTCTTGGACATCAAGTTTTCTTCGAAAATACCCTCTAGGGAAAGCAAGAGTTAATAACTCGGACTTGCAAAGAAAGGTCCCTCTGCGGTTCGTGTTTGGGTGAGTGTCGCGAAGCCACTAAGACTCTGTCTTTTGCGTAGTGGGTGTGGCGAAGGAACACACAGACGTGGAACCCAAGGCTCGTAGCCGTATGCCGTACGAACCCGATTGCTTGAGAGCAAGGAGAAAAAGAGCGAAGCAGTCGTACCAAGAGCACGACCCCAGAGAGTTGACTCTGTTTTCGACTTCGCACCCGTTGTGACCATACTTCAGCCCGCCCTACTTCGTACTGAACTATTTGGACGAGTGGACGGGTCGCAGTTGACGACAAAAAATATCAAAACTGTATTGCTGAAAGATGCGAACTATTGCGTAGTCTGTGAAATATGTCGTCTTGGAGCAAGAACACTAGGGATTATAGTTGCGAAACATACGGGCCATAGGGCTACAAGTTCGAGAAGTTTGCATAAATGCATCAAGATTTCGATTCCTATACGGAAACAATCCGGCTCCATACCCCGCGGGAGCCACAACCCTGTCAGCAGCATAACAGATTCAAGATACCGCACACTACAGTATGCTGCCACATGGCGAATGACCCGATGCCACGTTCAAACTAAACGAAAATAGTTGTGGGGGCCTGAAGAGGTGTACACACCTTGGTGGAGGTCGTACCACAGTTGATGGCCAGATCTTCCAACGTCATGTTTCCGCCCATCAGTACCTTCGCGTACAAGGGCCATAAACCGAGTCGGGCAAAGCAAGTGTTGTTGTAAGAAGGTTCGTTCTCACACACACGCGCGTTTACCAGAGGAGTGATACCTCGTGGAACACTTTACTAGCAAGATAATGCGGCCTGTTTTCTTGCCCGGCATGAATAATAGCTGCCCCAAACACGTGCAGATGTCAGATGTTGCACAAAATTGGTGTGTTCACATCATGTCGGGCACATGGTTGGCGTCCTACCATACTCATTCGGGTGTTGAGCTCATCATCAAGACATCCAACATCTCGTTTATATGTAGCGCAAAGGTCTAAAGTAGGCAACTATTTTAGCTTCGAAAATCGTGCAGTGGCTACGACTGGGAGGTAGATTCTCAGCGAGGCTAGACTCCGCAAATCGTGCCGAGTAATAGCATATACCTGGTACAGTAGGTGGTCTGATATAGTGTAACTGCCGATATAGTGGCATCAAAATCTATTGTCACAATCTCAACATGTAAATGAACCCGGTACATGGAACAGTGGCACTGCCCTGAATAGTGGCATATTCTCCCCTTGGTCCTACATGCCACTACACCGGGCCACCTACTGTATGGGAAAACGACAGAAAACGGTATATACCGGACGGTCTGGGTGACACAAAAATGGCACACGAGGAAAATCTAGACTCGGGATTTGACCCCGAGGTCCCACGCTGAGTGGCCAAGACCATCGGCTTCCATTCTCTGGCTCACGCTAAAGCGGAGACCGTGGCTGTTCTTCCTGAGTTGGCCTTCACCGTTTGTTTCTCGCAAAAAAAGGCAGGGCCAAAAGTTATCTCTCCTTAGCTTGGGCTTTGCAGGAAGAACACAACCACAACCGCAGACAATATACAGCAAAGAGCACAGGCATCCATCATGTGCTACCGTACGGTTCACAGCAGTTGAGATACAGAACGGGCCCGGAGATAAGAAACTTGAATATCGGATCGAGGCTAAGGTTCTTGTTTCATTGCCACTGTCGAGCAAAGGTTCAGCGTGGGACCTCGGGGCCAATTCCGGACTCAACTCCTTGTGTAACGCTTTGTGTCATCCCCAGACCCCCTGGTGTACTGTCCTCTGTCGTTTGGCCAGAGGAAATCGGTACGTACGGTAGTTCGTGAGAGTACACTCGAGATAATAACAGCTGATCATTTCTCGCGTCTAAAAAATACCGTACACATCGTGTTGAGGAACTCCTCCGTGTGATGCCGAATCGGAGCTTTGAGAAATAATGGAATGTTGCAGTGTAATGAGCCACGGAATACGATTCTCAATACCTTGCAGTAGTCTTCTATCAGCGATGCTGTGTGAGAAACGCTGCTTCCAGGCAGCAACCACACTCGCGCGGAGACTTCCGCAATTCAAGCGGATCTTCAAGACTGGTGGTTCATCCGCTCCAGCTAGAGTGTCAAATAGGGGGGGGGGCGTACTCATTTGTTGCTTGCCGTAGTCATTTGACCATTGACCAAATAGGGGGGGGGGGTAACGTGGAGATCACCTAGGCCACATACAGTCTCCTTTCTGCCTGTCGAGGACGATTCCCTCTTTTCACCAACTGTATAAAGGTCTGTCTGTCGGGCGCCAACTGTATAGTTTATAATGAGCCGCGGAGCGCGAAGCGCGGCATTCTTTCCCTTCGTCCCCAGGAGGGAAAAAAAGGCTCTATATATCGGCCAAAGTTGCGCCGCGCGATACAGGGGCCCCAAAACTTGATTACCGGGAAGCCGAAATAACGCACCTTTGGGACCAGAACGACATCTATAGGGCACCGATTGACGATCTGTTCGCTTCAGAGGAAGAAGAAAAATAGCGCGCTCTTCGTCACACTGGTTTGGTCGTGCTCCGATAGCAGATGGCCGTGCTGCACAAGCGTTTGTGCCCTAAATTCGTAGGAGGTCTTGCTCCCCAACCCCTGGGTTTCTCCGCGAAAAGGCGTGGACAAAAGCGGAGATCGCACGCGCGCGCGATTCAAACCAGGAGAAGAAACAGAGACAGCGCCGCAACAACACGACAAAAAAACGCATCATCGCTGGGACGCTCATCCGAGACCAGCTTTGAAAACAAGGAGGGGCCGAGCCTATACGACCTGTGCGCCGTGGGTAGTCATGCGCCATGTGTAACCTGGCCGAGGTTTTAATGATGTTGAGTGGGGTACAACCGACTGCTAAAAATACAGCAGACCGATCTTCTGGACCGACCGATTATCACACCTACCATCGAGAGAAACCGTCGAGGGCGTGAGGGTCTACTGCTGTACACTATTAGGTAGGATGGTTACCCGGGATCGGTTCTGTCAGGTTGCTGCGTACTTGCGCCGCGCTACTGACTGTCTTTCCAAAAGCAGTGCCCTGCTTGATGCTGTTGCTGCTGTTGTGGCTGTGGGTCTCTCGTATCAAAGTCATGGCCATCAACGACTTTTTTTGTTGTTGGTGCATGTTTTGTTTTTGTTGTCGTAATAATGTCCCGTGATGTATGCAATTGCTTGCTTTCACATGGCGGGAAATTTGGAGGCTCGATCGATACGAATGTGGCGGGCATCTATCTGTCACGCATCTGTCCGTCACCACCCCATGTCTGTCTACGCTGCTGCAGCTCGAGCTCCTCGGCGGTGTGATGTGTGATACGCTCGCCGCCAGCTAAATGCCGCATGCGTGCCTCTTCCAGATGTGCATGTTTGCCTCCGCACAGTGGGAAGACTTAATCTTTTGGTTCTTGGTGTGTGTGTGCAGGTGCATCAACGGAAAAGAAACTACCGCACAAAAGTGCAAAATTTTGAACGGGCCGCAAATACAACCATCGTCGCACCTGTCGCACCCATCCCTCTGGTGCACGTAGCTGCACCACAAACGATTCACGCTGCTGTGTGTCGTCATTCGTGCACCATCAGCATCGCAGATAAGACTAATGCGAGGTATTGAGTCGCTACCTCGCGGCTTCATTACCCCGCCCTATCTAGTATAGAGCCTGTTTTTTCGTGTATCCCCCCTGGACGGAGGCAAGAGCACGGTCGGTCGCGCTTCGCGCTCCGCGGTTCTTTACAAACCGGTACTCAGAGGACGTCAAGCCGCAGGCACGGGGCGCGCTGGCACGCTCAGATTGTGTTGCTGGGGCGATATTCTAGGGTTATGACATGTCTTCGCAAAAATCCACCGAAAGGATTGAGGGAGAAACTAAGCCACCGAGGATTTCAGTGTCTACATACATGCACCGGTGGGTAAAACTGTCCTACATATAAGCTCATATTTACCAACAACACCTGGATCTCGCGCTACATACAGTACAAGGCTCGCTTCACTTTAGGACGTGGCGGACGGAGTGTATTTTTATGGTATTTGGAGGTAGACATGTGATCGTGGTTGATCATGGTTATTTGGCGCCGTCGGATGCTAAGACGTGACGTCATGCTGGATCAGGGCTTTATGCCGAGACATGTATGTGCCCTTCTGTTCAGTGTGTGCGTGCAGACGATCCATGATCATCGTGTGTGCGTGGGATATCGTGAGTTGGCTTGGAAAGCGTTAATCAAGAGAAAGAGAACAACGGAAAGCAACAACTACGTGCTACTGTCGTTGGACAAGAGAGTTCCACACAGCTCAAAGGTGATTGATTCTGAAGGAAGGGGTCAAATACCATTACAGTATTTGTTTTCCTTTGGGCTGTCGCATCCTGCTGATTCTCTTGTTTGCATTTTATTGTATGTGGCGAGGAAAACAACATTACACCAAGCCTTCATGCAGCAATAAACCGACAGCTCGGTGTGGCGAACATTGGGGGTAGTAGCAATACAGCAGTGGGTAGCGCCGGGGCGTGGACGGCGCCGCGAAAGTAACCACTCTCCCCCCTACCAAAAAATTACATGAGCTAACAACAACAACAACAACAACAACAGCAGTAGGTGTGGGGTGGGAGCATGGCAGCAGCAGCAGGGGGACGTTTCTTATTGGACACGCTCCCCACTATCCCTTGTTTCTTATGTCTTGGGGGTACCGCACGATCATGTTTCTTACTCGGAAGCTTCTTATGGTGTGGCCGAGATTGAGCGTGTCTCGTATTTACTATTTTTTTTTTCGTGACCATTTGAACTTTTCATTACTTCTGTATGCACGAACCCGTGTGCATATCTTCCCAGCCGCCGATACAGTTAGCGCCCGCCCGCGATTAAGAAACATTTTGTTGAGAAACAAAGGCTCAAATTTCCACGAAATAAAAGAAAATAGGGTCAAGAAACACAGCTCAATCTTGGCCACAATAACAAAACAAACGTCTCCGTAAGAAAGAGGAGCGACCGCTACCACCCTACTACTAAAGAAACGAGGGTTTACGGGGGAGGAGGAGTAAGTGTGTCGAATAAGCATCACCCACACAGCTCCTATATAATGTAGCTCTCTCTCCCCCCTACCCAATGTGCTACTACATGTATGTACGCACCCCCTCGCATAGCGCACTACGAAGTATTGTAGTTTGGCGAGGGGGGGGGGGGGGGCGTACTCTTATGTTTTGCATGCCTTAGTGGTTAGACCATTGACCACGCGTCCTCGAGAGGACGGAGAATTGTTCCCACAGGACCGATCACCGATGGCCAATCGTTCCTTCCTACTTTGCCAAAGGTGCCTCAAAAATGTCTCCCCTAGTCTGTCTATCCTAACGATATCCCTTCCCGCCTATTCAAACTACTTCCTACTCCCCAGTACAGCTACCGTCCTCTCCTCTCTATTCCATGCCTCAAACATCTCCCTGTACGTCCCTTGTATTTTTCCCAGCTCAGTCATGTACACTTCCCTCTCCTCTTCGTACCACGGACATTCCGCGACTACATGAACACGGTCTTCGCATTCGAAGCCGCAATCACATTTGAACTTGTCGTCTTCGTCGTCTACCGTCCTATGTCTTCGTCGACGTTCTCGAAGGCCTATGTCCCCGGTCCTGAATTTGACCTTAAGCTTTGTCCCTGCATCCATTGGTCCATGTAGGTAATCCTTGAACCCTATTCCTTCTTTCAACATTCCGTACACTTCTAGACGCTCCTTATCCTTGGTTTCTTTCTTTAGATTCTGTTCTTCTCTCTCGGCGCAAGCAGCAGATATCTTCTCCTTAAACCCCTGTAGACCCTCCGTTTCCAGCGACACATCTTCGTCGATGTCTAACCCCTTCCATACGTCCTCTACAACCTTGACCCATTCCGTGGGTTGTCTACCCCTCTTTTTGTTTGCCCACTTCGCCTCCCATACTATTCTCGGCAACCTCTCCTCTCCCATCCCGCACATGCGATACTGCCATGTCAGCTTCCTTGCGTCCCTTCCCGACCGTAGGGATTGGATCCCCAATTCTGCCCTGACGGCTGCATTACTTGTGCGCTTGGAGCATCCTAGGATGATTTTCGCTGCTTTCATCTGCGCCGCCTCGAGTTCTTTCACTACCTTCTTATTTCCTTCCCATACTTCTCCGGCGTACTCTAGCGGCGGTACGATTACGCTCTTCAAAACCGCCAATTTGATGCGTGTATAAGGGTATAGTTTGGCGAGGGGAGTGTTTTTTTTGCGGCGCCCCCTCCCCCACCCTGCCGGCTCTGGCGCTACCTCGCACGTATGTCGCGAACCACGATATGCTGAATGCTGTATGTATGGGTTTGATGCGCTCTCCGCCGCCTCTCGTGAGGGCTGTTAAAGTTATTTGTAGTTGAAGAATTAAGGAAAAATAACACACGGAGAAAGACTGAAGAATTCAAAGAATTCAGCAGGATTCTGCATTTTGTAGTTTGCCGCAGGAAAAAACAAGAAACTTGAAATTGGACAAATAATTGCACCTGATGATGTGACGAGTCAGCCCACAAGAAGAATTTGAGGCTGGACCGGAAAGTGGCGTTTCCTAAACGCGGGCGCTAACTGCTATAGATGTGCTGCTGTAGCAATCGGTCTTCACGTAGACCCATTCGAACGGGTACCTTTGGGGTGGTGCCTGTTTACAGCTTCCAGCTATTGCTTGTGGTAGGTTGGTTGTCAGCGCTCCTCGCCCATTTACTCACCATTCCGAAAACGGTGATCGCCAGCACGTATCCCCACCCCAAAGCGAGCTTGAAACGCTGCCTCCGTGCCTCCGTGCCGATCTGGCCATAGCTCCTGCGAGCGTCCATCAGCTGGCGCAACGAAGCGAAGAAGGCAACGCGCCCGACCGGTTTGTGACGATGCCGTGGATGAGCCTGATGTGCAGGTTCCTGGTGATTGTTGTGCGTGAAATCAACAGCCTGGCGCGGGGTAAACGAGGCTTCAAAAGGTGGTGATTTGTTGGACAGCAGTGGTAGCACAGCCTGGCGTAGGTAACGAGGACTTCAGGCGATGATGGTTGGATAGCTGAAACCGTGCCTGTAGTGAGCACTTGGCAGGTGGCCGGATTCTCACACATAGATGAGGTGGTTAGGTGATATTAATAGCAACCAGCCGCCGCAGCGCCTCACCTTCAAAATCCGAACCGAACCGAACGAACAACGAAACAGGAATCCGTGAACAGCCCGCCAACCGAACCCGAACTTCTGACCATTTGCGGCTGCCGCCTGCCGCCTGCTGCTTCTGCTTTCTGCTGCTGCTCTCCACGCGGGCTCCTCATCACACTGCTCCCTCAAAAAGAGCGCCATTGTAATGATTTTCTGGGACACGAGCTGCGAAGACATAGAGAAGACACCAGCGAAGCGGGGGCGATGCTATACAGCAAAGCAGCAGAGGTATCTCCCATCATCTGCTCCTCCTATTATGGAAGTTCTCAAACTCCCCAACTTATTTATTTTCGTCCATTATTATTCCTGTTCGGGGGGCCTAACTTTTTTTCCGTTTGCGAGCACGGATTGAATGATTTTTATTTCATCAGTATGACCCAACGAATCCTTGATGTTTGCTCAATAATTCTGGAATATTGTGCTGCAGGCAACCAAAGAAAAACTAAGACTCTTTTCTATGATAGAGATGGTTTCGTGGTGTCATAATAAGAAAAATAAAAAAAAACTAAGACACATGAAACAGATTGAGAGCGCAAGTAAAATGCCGTCTTGCTCCCAACGTTTTCTGATCGGACTATCTATGTGATGAGTCGTCGTATTGTATTATAGCGTGTATCTCTACGACTTTTCTGTGTTTTATTTATTTATGTCGTTGTATGTTGCGTATCGCCAGCGAGACATGGCGCGGTTCGTCAGACCGCTTCTCCGGCATTATTGATTGATCGTTTATGCTTTGCGTCCGTCCTTGGTTTTCATTAGGTCTTGCCGTCTCTATATACGATTTGGGTACCCTGGCACGCTGGAGATCGTTCTCGGTGTGTTTGCCTGTCGTTCATTTCCCCTGCCCTACTTCCTTGACGTTATCCTAGATTGCGTTGAGTTTTCCCTTTACGTCGCGTCCAGTATCAAAGGCCGTATTCGTTCGGAAATTTGTGTGGGTTTTAAGTTTCGTTGCCGTATTTTGGACTCTCTCGTGTAGTCATCCTCATTCCTCCAGTTGTGATACGCGCGGCGGGTGCGTGCGCGTAAAAGAGTGGTGTGTGGCGTTTGGACTTTGATTTTGTTTCCTCGTCGTCTGTTGGGGATAGCGTGCTCTGCAGCAATATATATTCGTCCTAGCTTTATTCCATTGGTATGAGCGTTGTCATGGAGATGTCGATGTTTAGTCTCGTGACCGTTCGCATCCTTCGTCTCAATGATGGTGGGGGGTTGATTCGGGATATTTCTACAACTCACCTACTTTTGGGTGTTTTGTGAAGAATCATATCTATCTTCGATTCATGATCATAAATCATGAGCTTTTAATCTTTGTGTAGCTTTTAGGATTTGAGCATTGATTTGAGTATAGAATCTGCATATATGATATTCGGGGTGGGCTAGTGTTAAGGAGTGTGGCTGCTAGCATGAATAGGGTACATCTTATTGTTGATAGGGTGCGGGTCGGTCCCAGGAGGTATACCCTTCTGATCCCTATCCCTTAGGATTGTCTATTCTGTGTACCCCCTGAGATTGAAATTGGACCCCCACTTCATCTCAGACCCTTGCGGATCGTCTCTCAGCAATAACAAGCAACTTTCCCATCTCAACGTGGTCGTGGACAAGAAGAGTGTCAACGACAGAACCTTCATCTATCTCTAGGAGCAAGCTAACGCCCACGGCTTCACCTCCTTTAAAGATAAGATACGTGTGTGTGTGTGATTATGCATACCGACCGGTGGAACACATAGATGAAGGATTTTGATGTGGATGGGACAGATATGTTGCACAGCTTTTGCTCTATCTACCCGCCTGAACACCCCCGTACTGCTGCAAACCCTTCAACTGAAACCCTTCACATGAATACTACATAGAAGACTGACCGGGGGGGGGGGTGTACTCATAGTCGTGCATGCCGTAGTCGTTAGCCCATTGACCTCGCATCCCTACAAAGCCGGGACGGAGCACGCCGGGTTCTCACCGGACCAGGCTCTCACATCACCAAGCGCGAAGCGCCGTGAGGTATTCGGCGAGTCGCATGAAGGGTGCGCTGCATCCTGCTAAGGGTGTTCGGCATCTTGTGCTTACTTCTTTGCGCACGAATGACAGCTGCGTATGACTTAATTTATTTTGTGGTGCTATCACTTCCAGAGACAGTTGTAAGCACTGCTGTGTAACTGCCTCGAGGATGCTTGACCATTTTAACACAACGTGGTGCGATCATCCCCCGTTGCGCGGAGTTAGGGTTCTCGACCCCGCACAACATGATCTACTCCACCACCATTTATGGTTACCGCCAAAAACAAAACAGAGGTAATAAAAAAACGGTAACCTGGTTGCCGAGTTCACGAAGTGACTTGCCTTGTTTTCCAACGTCGTTGCCAAGCGACGAAAACCCAACCCCGATGGCAAAACACCGGGGGGGGCGGCTTGTTTTACAACGTCGTTGCCAAGCGACGAAAACCCAACCCCGATGGCAAAACACCGGGGGGGGGCGGCTTGTTTTACAACGTCGTTGCCAAGCGACGAAAACCCAACCCCGATGGCAAAACACCGGGGGGGGCGGCCGGGGCGGGGTAATAGTTTTTTTCGGTTGAAAAAACAGCACCAGTTGTAGGCTCGTACGTTTAGATGGGGGGTGGTGGTGTTCATCATCTTCAGCTGGGGTGTGGGTGTGTACTCATGTTCGTGCATCCGGTAGTCGTTAGACCATTGACGTCGCATCCCTACAAAGAAAGCCGGAACGGAGCACGCCGGGTTTTCACCGGGACCCGGCTTTCACATCGGGGGGGGGGGGGGGGTGTACTCATAGTCGGGCATGCCGTAGTCGTTAGACCATTGACCTCGCATCCCTACAAAGCAGGGACGGAGCACGCCGGGTTCTCACCGGACCAGGCTCTCACATCACCAAGCGCGAAGCGCCGTGAGGTATTCGGCGAGTCGCATGAAGGGTGGGTGAGCTGCATCCTGCTAAGGGTGTTCGGCATCTTGTGCTTACTTCCTTGCGTACGGATGACAGCTGCGTATGACTTAATTTATTTTGTGGTGCTATCACTTCCAGAGACAGTTGTAAGCACTGTGTAGCTGCCTCGAGGATGTTTGACCATTTTAACACAACGTGATGCGATCATCCCCCTTGCGCGAGGTGAGGTTTCTCCACCCCGCACAACATGATCTACTCGACCACCACTATGGATACCGCCAAAAACAAAACAGAGGTAAAAAAAAACGGCAACCTGGTTGCCGAGTTCACGAAGTGAACTGGCTTGTTTTCCAACGTCGTTGCCAAGCGACGAAAACCCAATTCCGATGGCAAAACACCGAGGGGGTGGCTTGTTTTACAACGTCGTTGCCAAGGGAGGAAAACCCAACCCCGAGGGCAAAACGCCGGGGGGGGGGGCTTGTTTTACAACGTGGTTGCCAAGGGACGGAAACCCAACCCCGAGGGCAAACCGGGGGGGGGGGGGGGACCGATCACCGATGGCCAATCGTTCCTTCCTACTTTGCCAAAGGGGGCTCAAAAATGTCTCCCCTAGTCTGTCTATCCTAACGATATCCCTTCCCGCCTATTCAAACCACTTCCTACTCCCCAGTACAGCTACCGTCCTCTCCTCTCTATTCCATGCCTCAAACATCTCCCTGTACGTCCCTTGTATTTTTCCCAGCTCAGTCATGTACACTTCCCTCTCCTCTCGTACCACGGACATTCCGCGACTACATGAACACGGTCTTCGCATTCGAAGCCGCAATCACATTTGAACTTGTCGTCTTCGTCGTCTACCGTCCTATGTCTTCGTCGACGTTCTCGAAGGCCTATGTCCCCGGTCCTGAATTTGACCTTAAGCTTTGTCCCTGCATCCATTGGTCCATGTAGGTAATCCTTGAACCCTATTCCTTCTTTCAACATTCCGTACACTTCTAGACGCTCCTTATCCTTGGTTTCTTTCTTTAGATTCTGTTCTTCTCTCTCGGCGCAAGCAGCAGATATCTTCTCCTTAAACCCCATGTAGACCCTCCGTTTCCAGCGACACATCTTCGTCGATGTCTAACCCCTTCCATACGTCCTCTACAACCTTGACCCATTCTGTGGGTTGTCTACCCCTCTTTTTGTTGGCCCCCTTTAATCGCGGAACTAGACCATCCGGCCAGTCAGCGCTGACTAGCCGGATGGTCTAGTTCCGCGATTAAAGGATTCCCGCACGAAGTTCGAATACCGGCCGGATCACTTTTCTTTGCGTAGAATTACCATTGACAGAGCCGCAGCGTCTGGCGAGGGGTCCGTCCCCGGAGATCTCTACGCTCAATCACAGTGATTAAGCTTCTAACAGCCTCAAGCCCATGTGATCCGGCCGGGTGCTAACGAGCTCAGCGCATATCTTTTAATCGCGGAACTAGACCATTCGGCTAGTCAGCGCTGACTAGCCGAATGGTC